AGTTACAGTCGCCAAGATGGGGACGCAACCTAAATATTCTTAGGAAGACAGATAGATAAAGAAGCGGTGGTAAACGGTATACGTATATGCAATGGAATATTACTCAGTCATAAGAGGAGACGAAATACTGCCATGTGCGACGACATGGATGGACCTCCAGATAAACATGCCAAGCGAAATAAGCCAGACAGAAAACGTTGAAAATCACACGATATCACTTATATGTGAGATATAGACCTAAAAACAACAAACGAACAGGACAAACAAACAGAGACTCATGGACATGGACTATAGACTAGTGGTTAGCACAGGGTAGTGGGTGGGGAGAGGTGGGAGACAGACAGGGTAAAGGGGGTCAAATATGTGGTGACAGAAAGAAATCTAACTATGGGAGGTGAACACACAGTGTAAATATATATATGCCTTACTGTTAAAGTATACAGCTGAAACTCATTGAATTTTATTAACCAATGTCGCCATAAAAAATAAATAAAATTAAAATATATATATATTTTTTTTATGCAGTCACATATATTAATCTTTATTTTCATGGTTTCTGGATCTTGAATCTTGATTTTTCTAATCTTCATGCCAAAGTTATAAAAGCATTTACCTATGTTTTCTTCTAAAACACTTAGGGCTTTAATATTTTGTTTTAAATTCTTGATCTATTTAGAGTTTATGTTGGTACATGGCATGAAGTGTGAATCCATCTTTTTATCTTTTTTTGAATCCATCTTTTTAAACATAAATTGTTACCAAGTTATCCCAATGTCTCTTTATCGAAACATCCACTTTACTCCACTTTCTTGAGCAGTCAATTCCATCATAAACTAAATTCTAGGTTTGCATCTCTTTCAAACCTTCTATTTTGTACCTTTGGTCTAATTATACGCTACTACAACTTTTTTTTATTAGAAGCTTTATAATGATTTGATATCTGGATAGCCCCTCTTGTTTACTCTTCCTTTTCAGGTTATTTCCTGGCTCTTCTTGCTTATTTACTTTTCCACTGGAACTTTACAATAAGATTCTCTAGATTAATCTTTTTATTGCTATCTCACTACATTTATAAAATAACAGAATTGACAATTTTATGATGTCATCTCTTCAAGAGTATCATGTGTTTCCATTTGATTCAGGTATTCATCTGTGTCCTTCAATATTGTTTTTTCTTTTTCTCAGAGAGGTTTATCCTAGATATTTTAACTTTTTGTTGCTATTGAAAAGTATTTTCTTTCATTGTTATATTAGGATATTGAATTCTGCATATTAATTTGTACATGTTTCTTATGGTATCTAATGTAATTATTTTCATTCTGAATTATTTTCTTTATAGTAGTTTTTCATTGATTCTCTTGAATTTTCCAGATATATAGTCCTATCTTCTTTAATTTTTATCCCTCTAATTTTTTTCTCTTATCTAATTTTATTGGCTAACTAATAATTCACCAAAGGTGTAGTAGTGCACATGTTTGTTTTGTTCCTGAATTTAATAGAATGTCTCTGATATCTCCTAAGTAACATGATGATCTTTGGGGGAAATAGATAGATATAGATATAAATATAATGTTAAAGAAGTATCTATTGGTTCCTATTTTTTTTTAAATCAAGAATGTGTGTTGTTTTTTCAAATGCTTTTTCAATGTATTAGACAATCATCATATATTTTTGCATAGATATGTAGAAATGGTGAATTGTAACAATACTCTCTTATTGTTGATTTCTCTTTTTATTCCTGGGGTTCTATCTTTGCATCCTCATTCATAAGTAAAATAAGTTTGAGTTTTTCCGTTTTTTTGTGCTCTCTGTCAAGTTTTGCAGTTACTGTTACTCCTGCTTAAAAAAATAACTTGGTAATTTTCATTCTTTTTCTATGGCTCTGGAACAATTTAAATAGTGTTGGAAATATCTACTCTTCATGTTTGGTATAATTCCTGGAAAACTGATTTTTATATAAGAATAGATTGTTGCTCTATGAGCATACAGTCTGGTATTGTGTTTTAGTTATTTATGCTATGCTAATAAGATGTACTAAAATGGAGCTTACTGAGTTTAGAAAACAATTACCAATGCTTATGCTTATTCTTTTATTTAATACTATTTATTGTAGATAATTTTTAAAATATAAATTTGATATGTAAATAAAAATAAAGGCCTCAGTTAAGTAAGGGAAAAAATAAATCTTAAATTGGACAGTCATTATCTATTAATGGTCCTTGATAGATATTTACATATTTACAGGACACTTATGAATCAGATTCTAGTGCCCGATAAGCCATTGATTTACTGCATAGACTTGAGCAAGAGGTTATTCTCTCTCTAGAAGTCTAGAACGAGGACATCCATGGACTCCTAGAAAAAGCCTAACAAGTTCTGGAGAGGGGGATGAGAGCAGAAACTAGGCACTATCCTTGGTTCTAAATCATTATTTTATGCTGTTTCTCCTAAATCCAAAACGAGTTCAAAACTGATCTTCATTTTATTTGTTTTGTGTTACATCTTCATATAAATCTTTCTTCTTTTTTATATTCATAACAGCCACTCCTCTGGAAAATCTGGCAGAGATGTGCAACTTCTTGCTCCTGGCGCAATGTATGCCTCTGATAAAAGATTTCCAATCTGGATGAATGTCAGAATCATGTAAGTAAGCTGGATAAAAATGCACACTATGAGGTGCTATCCCCAGATATTCTAATTTATTAAGTCTAGGGTGGGGAACCGGGTACATTGTACTTTTAAAAATAACCAGAAATACTGATGATCGGTGCAATTTGAGAACTGTAAGACCAAATGGTTTTTAAGAGCAATGTTCCTGGATTTTTATATGTGGTACTGCCTCCACCAGGGGGTGTCAACAAGGGTTCATTTGTAAATTACTCATCACCAATATAATTGTACCATTTTCACTTTGTACACACAGGTCTGCAGAGCATATTTTCAGGATTTTAAAAAAACGAGCATATCTCCCTGTATTCTAGCATAGAAACTGGCTGATGTCAAGTAGGCAAACCATAGTTACTACCTGAAAATAAATGTTGCTGGAGAGTCTTCTTATGTTCCAGGCCTTTCTTGGAGTACACTGGTCTAGTAAGGGGAGGTCTGCTAGACAGACTCAGCTGAGATTCAAAGTCTTCGCAAAAGCTTTGAAGATCTTAAGAAAGAAAGAAAACTCATGTTATTCTGACATGTTAGTTCATCTTTTCACCACTGAAAGAAGGCTTCCACTTGGAAGAGACATTATTTGGAAGTTTGAAGGTATTTCCCATTCAATACAATTCTTCACTCTCTATATCTAGGTAGCATTTTGTTTGTATTTCTTTTATGGTACGTAGCATAGCTGTTTAGTAAACATATCTGTACATATAGCTCATTTCTATGGTGTAAATATTCCCACCATGGACAATTTCAAGCTGCCAATGTGATGTCACCAAATGAAGAGTTGGGAAGAAATGCATAATAGCACAGCATTTTATAGTGTTTCCACCATATAGATACAATAGATGTAAGTAACCTCATAAGCAAAGACAGTGTTAAAATGTAGTAAATAATCAGCAAGAGGTTTCTATTTATTGCATTTATTTTTTATATAATTTTATTGTAAGTTTATATGACTTAATTTTTAATAATGACTGTGTTTAGCAGCTGGCTCACAAAATTCTCGAAAATGTAATAACGAGCCAATAAGAGCTAGGTACTGCAAGGTACCCATTCCCCACAAATTTTCTTTTCATCTTCTGATGTGAAAAAAATTGCCTATTATAAGACACTGATTGGGGCTTCTAATTACCCAACAAAATTTTATTATATATAGAAAGCAGGATACTTGGAGATTCAAAAACCACAGAGTTGAGTGGGTGTGGGAATTTCAAAGTCACAGGAAACAAAGGAAAACCTGTTTTAATACGAAGGTGCTAAAGAGGTAGAAAGGATGCGGAGGGAGGTACTCTCCTCCTCTTACCTGGATCTGTGTCCATCATCATGCCTATCCACTCCTCAGTTGTCAGGCTGCAGATGTTCTCGCCCTTCACCATCCATGATTTGGGAACTTCTGAGAACACTGCACAACAGGATGGCTGCACTCTGATCACACAAACATAGCCGTACAGCTCTCCGTTGGCTACAACATCCAAGCTTTTGAATGTGAAATTTATCTGGCACTGGGATTGGCAAAAACAGACATGAGGTAATTTGCGGATTGCGTCTTCTGTTTTCTTTTGCAAAAGGTCAATGTTAACATTTTCTTTAGCACATCCCAGAACTCTCTTACTCTTATCATCCACTCCAATAAAAAGATAGCCTTCCCCAGTGTTTGCAAACGCAGAGATGTACTTTGGAATCATGTCCGTTACATACCCTTGGATGTGTTTTGTAGAGAACTGTTTAAACTCTACATGTTGAGACTCAGGAAAAGGCAGGATTTCACCATATTCAAGCTGGTCTTTTTGGAAAATTAGGTCAGCAGGATTTAAGTTATGAAGTTGCCGATGTTCAACCTTGCGAACTTTACAAGAAGGTTCTTCCTCAAAGGTTTTTGCGTTACTTTTCTTGGTTTTCAGGAAATTAAATGCCTCTCTTGAATCCATGAGAATCGCAGAGGTGCCGGATCTAAGATATAATGAAGAACTCAGGCTGCAAATGCGGGGATTGGTGGAACCGTCTTCGGAGAAAGGGCCACTGTTCCAAGATCTAACAAAAATGTAAAAACACCTTCCTTGCTGCTTAGTCTCAAAGAAAGCCTGCAAATCTAAAGACTGAATAAGGATTCTCAAAGAGTCTTCTAAATCCAGTCCCATCTCCACAAGATGCTCATCGTTGTTTGCCATTGCCATCCGAATCACTCCTCCTCCTGAGTTTAATAAAGCACATGCAGCCTGTGTAATTTTCTTTGCCTCTTGCTCTCTCTGAGTTTTCTGCAGCTTCTTTCTGTTTCCTTCACCGAGAGTTATTCGTCCTACGTTGATGACTAAGTCTGGGTAGGATAATTCTACCACCAAAGATGAATTATGGTTTTCCATGTTCATTCTGTAACAGAAACCATGAAAACTCATATCTCACGTTAAGATTACATAATACATTATTTAAAAATACATTAACTTATTGTAAAATATTTTTGAGTCCCTACTAAATGCAGGGATTAGAGATTAAGTGGTAGATCAAGAATCAGCATAGCCTTGCCTCTCAGAGCTAATCATCTAAAAGGAAACGTGGTTAAATAAAACAGTTGCAGTAGGGAGGGTTTTGCAGTAATCTGTGAGATGATGATGCCCTGAGCCACAGTAGTGGCTGTGGGGATGAAGAGAATTTGAGCATATCTGAGAGATAGGAAATAAAATTAACGTGGATCTGAACTGACCAGATAGGAATCAGGAAAAAGATTAAAGTTTAGTAACTGGGTTTTTTGGCTTCAGTGACTGGGTGGTTAGTGGTACCACTTATTGGCAATAGAGCAATGATTATTGAAGGTAGGTGATTGATAAATGAGGATTCACTATCTTAGTCTTCTTTCCACTTTTGTGCATATTTGAAGTTTCCATATGATATTTTTAATTGACTTCTATTAAAGTTTGGTAAGTTTTAAATTATTCATAACATAAAAACTAAAATTTTTACCTCCAAAAAAAGTTAAAAGGAGAGTAGGGAATATAAATTTAGATCATTAGTAAGAAAGTGATTGAACTTTGGACTACATGCATTCTTAGGATAGGGTGGGAAATGAAGATGGCCTGGGCAGGGGGTGGACCTGATAAATGGGGAAAAAGAAGTATCAATGGATTCTACATCTTTATGATGTCAAAGAACCTGAATTTGGAAGTGGCTGAGCAAACCAATAAAACTCAACAGTACCATGGTGAAGAGAGGGCTCTTAAAATGCTTAGGATTGTGTTGCCACCTGCACAGTCATTTTTCTCTTTTGCTTCACTATAGGCTGAAGAATGTGATCAAAACATTTCATTCTGATTTATTAATTCAGGAAACATCCAATTCGTGTTTACTGTGGGCACACTAAGTGCTGTGAGAGACACAAAGAATCTGTCTGTTGGAGATATATGGTTTAAGTCACATGAAATTACCATGATATGGCTTAAGCAGTATGTGGAGAAAGATCCATAGCCCTAAATGCCTATATTTGTAAAAGAGAAAAAGTGTTTTCTTCAAAATTTAAAGAATTTAGAAAAAACTAGATCACAAAGGAACACAAACTAACAAGAATAATAAATGTAAGAGTGGAAGGAAAATTACAAAGCAATTATTTGATTAACAAGATTGAGTTTTGTTTTGCCTGTTTGTTTTTTGCATTTTAGACAAGCCACTAGCATCTTTATTATTTAAAAGGAGCTCTGAACAAACAAAAGAGTGGCTGATGCAGGTGTGACAAGGAACATACAGAGCCATGTTAATTTTATTTCTGAGCAGTAAATTATTTGAAAGGCCAAGTCATTCACAATCTCACTCATCTGTCTGATATGTTCCTTGTGATAAAATTTACATTTATAACTATCTCGTTCTATATTTTATGACCTTTAAAAGTCTCCTCAGATTATTTATACAAAGTGCCATTTGAGAGACATCTGAATGTCAAAGTTTTAATATTTATTCATGTGGACATTTTCCTCAAGTATTGCATGTTAATTCACTTCCTTGGATAAATATTTTCATATTGGCAACTCCTTTCTAAAGCTAATAAGTCTGGATTATTTTGTTTGGCATTGAAACCTTGAGAGCTCCTAATCTTTTATTTTCATTTTAAGACCTAAAAAAAAAAAAGGGGGAACTCTGGTAGATTTCTTCCTTTAAAATAAGATTTTGTTCCACTGAAATTTGAAAACATAAATGGTTTTAAAAAATAGGCAGAAAAGCAAATTAGTTTAACAAAAAATTGAGAACTCAGATAAATCAATTACAGAGTAAAACATCAGGACAGTTATCAAAGGGAATTTTAGAAAGTACCTGGCTCCATTGGGTTTACTGGAGAACTTTTTAAACTTCAAAATAATATTTCTACATTATTAAATATACATTGTTTGACACATGAAAAAATATGGCATGCTACAAAATTCCGTCTTATCTTTGTTTTATATATTTCATGAATGACATTAAAAGGACAAACAGCTCAGTATCTAACAAGTTTTGGACACTTGCTAGAACTGGCTCTGGCTATCAGCTAAAATATACAACCTATAGGTCTTTGAACCCCTGCCAGAGTTAGCCCTGGCTATTAGCCAAAACAACCCTACAAATGCAAGCAGATCCTAACAGCCCCTCTAATTTTTTTCTTTATCTCAAGCTTAAATTCACAGACCTGGGAAAAGATACCAAGACAAGCAAGCCTCAAGTTAATTAATCACATTCCAGGTGCCTTGCTTCAGATAACATCAAAGAAATTCAAGCTTCTGCTACCTTTGAACAGCTATTTACAAACACCAGCTGCCTTGCCCTCTATAACCCATAAAAGCTCAAGCCCCTTACCCTTCCAGTGCAGCGTTACTCTTAATGTTTGGCCCCTTTCCTTGCTTGGAAAGTGAATAAACCTTTTACTTTACTTCTTGACTTTGTGAATTCTTTCACACCCCATGGTACAGGCACCCTAACAAACATGATAATCCTTTCATCCACTTCTCCCTTATCTCTTATGGTCTTAATAATATCAGAGGTTTTTACAAATTGTAAGCATCAAATAAACAATTTTGCATTGTTTTTATCATTAACAGATCTATAAACCTTTGAGGTTGTTGTATTTGTTTCAAAGGCAACATTATTTATCAAGCAGATACATATCAATTAATTGGACATTTCTCAATTGTTAAACATTTGGATTGTCCCAATTCTTAATAATGCTGCACTTACTCAACAAATATTTAGTGGACATCTATTATTTGCCTGCATTGTGCTAAATTCACAGAAGTGTGAACAAATGTGGTCCCTGCTCTTGAGGAGCTGTTTAGAGAAGGTAGATATTAAATAAATGACTACTACAGATAAAGGTTCAGAATGCCAGGGATGCTTAGAATGGAACCAGTGTTCTTATCTGGCAGTTGGAAGGGAGATGAATTCACAGGCGGCTTTCAGGAAAAGTAAAATTTTGAGTTAAGATATGAAGAATGTAAATGAAGTGGAGTTAAAATTAGGTGAAGAAGGGTGGTAAAAAACTTTCCAGAAAGAAATAGGAAGGAGTATGTCAAATTCAAAGGACTGACTGAAGCACAGAGATGGAGGGACAGAGAGGTAGGAGGTGAGGCTGGAAAGGGGATCAGGAACCAGATTGTACATTGTCTGGTGGTCCCTTTAAGGATTTGGGACTTTATCCTGAGACTAATGGAAAGCCATTGTAGGATTTTAAGCAGGAAAACACAGCAATAGATGTACAGTTTTTACAAAGTTCTTTATGGCTGCAGCATGAAGAATAGTTTGGAGGAAGCTACAGTAATTATGGAAAAGACCTTTTGGGATGCTATTTCAGTAGTCCAAATAATAGTCCAAATAAGAAAAGATGATGTGGACTAAGGTAGCGACAGTAGAGATGAAGAGGAGAGTGTTGAAAGATATTTAGAAATAATAAATTTAAGGACCTGGTAATTGATGGGAACTCACATCCATTATTTGAATTGTTTTTCTTCTCCCCTAACCCAAATGGATAGGAACCAAAATTAGCCTATTTACCAGGAGTTGTTTGAGACTGCTTCTCACCCTAGATTAAAACAGGTAGCATCCACACAAAAAACCTGTACACAGATGTTTATAGCACTTTATTCATAATAGCCCAAACTTGGAAGCAGCCAAGACGTTATTTAGTAGGTGAATGGATAAACTGTGGTACATCCATGCAATGGTATATTATTCAACGCTAAAAAGACATGAGCTGTCAAGTCAGAAAAGACATGGAGGAAACTTAAATGCATTATGCCAAGTGAAAGAAGCCAATTTGAAAAGGCTACAATTCTAACTATATGATATTCTGGAAAAGATAAAACCATGGAGACAGTAAAAAGATCAGTGATTGCCAGGGGATGCGGGGAGGGAGAGAAATGAATAGCTGGAGCACAGAGGAGTTTTAGGACAGTGAAAATCATGGATACGTGTCATTATATATTTGTTCGAACTCATAGATGTACAACACCAAGAATGAACTGTAATGTAAACTGTGGACTTTGAATGATTATAATATTTTGATGTAGGTTCATCAATTGTAACAAATGTACCTCTGGTGGGGGATATTGTTAGTGGGAGAGGCTATGTATGTGGTGGGTGGGGCAAGGGGAATTCTTTGCATCTTCCTCTCAACTGTGCTGTGAATCTAAAACTGCTCTAAAATATAGTATACTTAAAAAAGAAAAAGAAAAAAAAAAGATAGCTAAGCCAAACAATGAAAGAGAGATATAAGATCCAAATTTGGGGAGAGAACCAAGGTCTATGCCAAAACTTGAGTGGCCATAGGCAGAAATTCCTATCAAGATCTGGGATCAAAAATTTTGATGTAAGAAGACCAAGTAAGTCAAGTCCAGATAAAAATTGGGAGGATGCTAGGAAGGGTTATGCTTGTGCCTTTCCTTATAGGCTGAAATAGCTTCTTTATTGAGCGAGGCACTGTACCAAAAATTTTACATACATTATCTCATTGCCTCATCACAACAAATACTATTATCTTCTTTTTACCAAGGAAGAAACAGGCTAGACAACATGTTCAGAATCACATGGATAATGTTTTGCAGTCAGTGATATCGGACTTTAAAGTCTAGTGCTTCTTATCAAAACCTAAATTCTTAATAATCATGCAAACTAGTTTCCTGAATTATTAGGCCTCCCACTCCTGGGAGGGGTCAGAGGGCAGGAAAGTTTTCAGAACTTTTTGATAGTATAACTATTTTAGCATAATCTCCTTGGTATTGATTATAGCATTCATTTTGTAAAACATATGACAACAACCCCACCCAAAATACAGGTCAATTTCTAAGAATAGGTAGGCAAAAGTCATATATAAAATGTTGCCAGAGAAAACACCTCAACACATTAAAAACATTTTTAGACCCAGGAAAGAGAAGCAGTTCTTAAACAAGACAGAAAAATTACAAACCATAATGGAAACAGAGGTTACCTAGATGAAAATTTAAACATTTCCATATGACAAAAGATACACAAAAAGCTCTTAAAACTCGACAATAAAACAACCCAATTTTTAAAATAGGCAATACATCTGAACACCTCACCAAAGATACAGATGCCAAAAAAATATATGAAAAGATGTTCCACATTACATCATCAGGAAATTGCAAATTAATACAGTGAGATACCACTACATATCTATTAAAATAGTAAAAATCAAAACACAATTTGAAAAATGGTACAGCCACTTTAAAAGAGAGTTCAGCAGTTTCTTACAAAATTAAACATATTGTGACCACATGATCCATTAATTGTGCTCCTTGGTGTTTACACAAATTAGTTGAATACTGACGTCCACACAAAAACCTGTACATGAATGTTTCTAGTAGTACCTTTATTCATAATTGCCCAAACTTGGAAGCAACCAAGATGTTGTTCAACAGATGAATGGATGTGTTCAAGGAGACAAGTACAGTCATTTTAGCACTGTTCATAAACCAAATTTTGGAATAGCCTGTCCATCAACAAGGAATGGGGAAACAAAATGTGGTCATATTTATTAAAAGGAATTGTATGAAATACTGTAAGAGAATAAACTAAAATACACAGACACGCACACACAAATATTAAAAACTCAAGGTGCAGATTCATACCACTTAAATAAGTTAAGCATGTACACACAACAAAGGTACATATTATTTCTGGAAATGTGTATGTAAAACTGTGTGCTAACAATACTATAAAGACATACAATAAACTCAGAATCCTGGTTGCCTCTGAGAAAAGGAGAGAAAAATCAAACTGGAGATGGGAGGCAGAGAACTTCAAATTTATCTACAATATTTTATTTACTAAATTTTTAAAAAGACGTGAAGTAACTATGGCAAAATACCAACAGTTGTCCATTTGAGGTAATGGGGTAACAAAAGAAGTGTTTGCCATATTATTTTTGTGCTTACTTAATTCTGTTATTAAACACACACGCACACACCATACAAACCAAATTGGGTTTGTCCCAGAATATCAGATTGTACAAGAAACACCATGAAGCAAAATATTACATTTGCAATTAATAAAGTCCAAATTATCTCAATGAATACAAAATTTGATATTTACAAAGTATTCTAGGGAAGCATTAAGAACGTAACAGGAAGATGTTTCAGCATTGGAAAGCATTGCGGTAACACTACGCGGAGTTCCTCTCCCGCTGGGGCTCTCCCACACTCTCCCTCTCCCTCCCCGCCCGTCAAGCCTCACGCTTGAGCACTTCCATCCTGTCAGCCCTGCGCTTGCGCTTCTCGCCTCTTCCACCGGCCACACAGCGTCCGACCTCAGCAACGTTCCAGCCGAGCCCCGCCCCCGAGGCTCCTGCAGGACAGCGGAGGCACCACAGGAGAAGCTTGGGGTACCGGGGCCAGAGCCTGTGTATGTCTGCATGAGAGTGTGTGCTGGTTTGGAAATGCGGCGTAAGGAATGGCCGGGGGTAAGAGGAGCAGTGCCTTTGCATGTGGGCCCAAGAGGAAGAATGGAATAGGGAAGTAGGGTGAGAAAGTTACAGTCCACAAAGAAACAACAGACACTGGACCTAGGAGACCCGCATCTCGAACCTGGCTCTGCCCCCAGGTATTACACTACCTTGCATTTTCACAGATGAAGACTTAAGCCAGAGAAGTTATGGCCTGCTCGGAATGTGTCGTCCCCCCCACCCCACCCCGCCCACCTCAGTGCTGTAATTATGGTCTCCAATAGTTTTGTTGTTCACATACATACAGAAATAATTCATTTAACTTGGATCTAAAAAGTCATCTTACACTTATGGCTGAATAAAAGCATTTGTTGTAAAAATGTGTCTGCCAAGCGATGTCTAGAGAAAATGTCCAGAATATATATAGGTGTTGCCTTGTTGTAGCCACCAGCCCACGATAGACACACGGACCACCAGAAACCAGTGAGTTATAGGAAACACACTCTATTCAGCCAGCTGGGTCTGCCAGGGGTACGCAGACCCCAAATTAAGCAGCCCCGAAATGTAGATGTACAGGGTTTTTAAGCCCTAAACCCCATTCCTCATTCTGTCTGAACACAAAAGTCTATTTTTCTTCTATTTACTGTCAACCCACAGGTAGGTTGTGCAAGCGGGGGTACAGAAGCAGAAAGCTTATTGTTAGAATGTTATGTTCCCATGGGCGATAGCCAAGCAGTAATTTTCCAGCCAGCACAGCCTGTTTCTAGCAAAATAAATATGTTGTTACAGATGATTGCTTTCCTATTATAGAGTGGCAAATATTTCTCAACTAGTAACCTGCTGAAGTATTCAGTTATTCATTTGTGCCCCCCATCACCAAAAGGATTCAAAGAAGCAACGTAAATTGGGCAAGTTCACTTTCCAGTGCTTCTAATGTTGGTAAACAAAATAACCACATGTAATCTGGAAAATCCAACTGGGTCAGAGCTTCCCAGTCAATATGTCTTAAGTTTCTCCTGAAAACGAAAGTACATATTATGAAAAACTGACAAAGAATCCGAATAGTCATTCCTTCCCGCCAAAACTCTGGCTCCTCCCTGTCCCATTTGAAAGTTCCTCAGAACGTTTGATCAGAACACTCTATAACCCTTTACACCTGGGGTCTCTAACACCCCCTGCACAGCAGTGGGGGAGCTAGCAAATCTTCACCTGTATTTTCAGCAGCTCCACAGCACTAGCATCACCGTCTCAGCTCCACCTGATCAGGCATTAGATTCTCATAGGATCACCAGTCCCTGGTGCCAAAAAGGTTGGTGACCGCTGCTACACCACTGTCTACATCATATACCTCAGCCAGGTTGTCTGGTCTGGAATTCCGCATCCTGCGTCCCTGGCCTGAGAAAGAAGGTGAGTCCATCTACAGATCAGTTCTCACTGTCTATTTCACTTATTTAAGAAAAGCGTGGTTGTGTCCACCTCAGCCTCTCTTGCCTAAATATATAGGCAAGATATATCTAGAAGGTTTATAACCATAATGTATTTTCATCTTAGAGATTTTTTAAATCTCTTTTTGAGACCATCGTTTCTGTTGAACAGGCACAGCTTGGGTCTTTCCGGACAGTCTGTACTTACCTTGGAAATTAGAAGATTCCTCAGCATAGGGTGCTAGTGAAAACTGGAGTTCTGACCTGTTCGTGTGTCTGCCACTTGACTGAGGACGATGGTCACTTTCAGACAGAAGAAATGAAATTTCAGCCCCCTGGAGAAAAGCAAGCCCAAGAGGAATGGATTTCTCTGAAAGATGAACTTAGACTGTTCCCTTTCTAAAGTTGGTTTCTCTGAAAGCTGAGATCTTTTAGGTTTCGATTTCCCAGAAGACTAAATTAGAATCCTCTTGCCTCTTAATGCCTGCCTTTCTGACCTCAAGAAAGAAAAAAGCTGTTTCTTGTCTAAAAATAAAAATTTGCCATTTTAATAAAATAAAAAGCTAGTTAGTTCTGGCTTGACTCTAAAGGAACTGTGTATCACAAGGAGCACTTTAAACTTCTTGGTGAACAAGGCTACAGTAAAGCCTGTTTGGATACACACCAAACTATTATTAAGGATTTAATAATAGTTTCTTGAAAAGTGTCCAGTGGCGAGTGGAACTGTAAAGAAGATGGAGAGGGTGAAATTGTTATTCTGAACAATAAGCCTGAGCTAAAGAAATATGGAATGAAGTTAAGAAAAAGAAAACAATGCTAGAGCCAGGTAGAGAAGCAGTATATCTCATTGACTTTCTCAGTTTTTCTTGTAGCCTCTAAAATCCTAACAGTTATAGCTGAAATTTCTGCTCAGTTTCCTGTTTTTGAGTTGACGGCTCATGCTGTTGTTATTGTCGTTTCTTCTACTTAGCACTTTGACCTGCGGCTTCCCTCCACAGCCCACACAAATCACACTTCCTTTGAGCTTTTGCTTGGTTTCTTGTACGGTTTCTTTCTGGTGTCCATCCTTATAGACTGCAAGAATTATTACACTATGGATTTAGTAATCATTTCTAACGATGAGAAAAGGTGTTGTGCACTAGGGGAAATTGAGTTTGAGATGTCATGAACCAGTGTTTTGTGCCGGTCTCAGCCTGTCAATAACCAATGTTGTTCGAACCAGTCCTTGTGATTCTTATTATTATTGCAAAACGTCCTTCCACAATAACCATCAGTAACTTTGAAAAACGTAAAGTTATTACTTACAGGACCTGGAAATTACACATCACACTTGCAAATACACAGCGAGGTTGCGGGTGGAGAGAAAGAGCGCCCTGGCCTGGGGTTTCGCTTTTCCTGGGCTTGAGGGTGGAGCCCAGGATTTCATGGTCTCGTGATTGGTGAATTTAAAACACAGAGCGGGAAAGAAAGAAAAAAAAAAAACGTAAGAGCGAGAGTTTAAAATTCAGGAAGGAAAGCGGCCCAAATGGTCAGTTATGAAACCAATCAAGATCTCTAAAACAAAGGAGCCTCAGTGAAGGGAGGTGGCCTGGCTATTTGAGATAGTCATCTTTGAAGTAGATGCCTCTTTGAAGTGGATGCCTGGCAGTCAAAGCTTAAGTCAGTCACTTACATTACAAAAAGAAAAAAACAACCATTACAACCTCGTTCTTAATCTTAGCTGGACCTTTCAGCAAACCTTTTTTTAAAAATGCAGATTCTAGGGCTCCTCCCCAAACATGCAAAATCAAACAATGAATCTATATTTTTAAGATCCCTGGGTGATTCAATGGTTAGCCAGGTTCAGGAACTGCTGGACGACCATTTACTGTCTCCTATTATCACAATCTCTAGGCCCACTATTCATGGTAGACTGTCAGAGAAATTACTTGTATTACAGACTACTGCACGAATCCAATTTATACCAAATCTGTTTCCAATATGGCCAGCATTATCACTCCGTGACCTTACCTACATGTGTCAAACAGAGTGGGTAATTATCTGATTGCAGAAAAGTATTACAACCTACAAATTACCCCCAGAGACATAGCATTTTTTGAAAAATCATACTTAAAAAGTGTCCAGCGAGAAAAACCCAGTAGGGTCCAGAGGATGTCTTAATAACCATGTTCACAGAGGATTAAGTATTGTGTCAAACCCTGTGCTAAGCATTTCATGGTAACTTGGTTATGCCTAGGAAGAAACTAAGCCTAAGAAAAGTCAAGAAACAATGTTGATAAAGTAACTTCTCCCAATCACTGAGTCTTTGATCATATACCAGGCACCGAGAACTTATTTTAGTAACTACTGGTTGTTGACACTTCGGTTTGTGCCAAGCACAGGAAACAAAGCATTTAAGCTTTACAACAACTGAAGGATATAATATTATTTTCATTTTACATAAGAAAGATCAGTTAACTTGCCCAAATCACATCTGGGCCTGTATTTGAACCTTGTCACATTTGACTCTGAAACCCACACTAGTACATGAGTGCCTCAAAGCTCAGGGGTACCCCAAAGCTTGGTGAAATGGAAGCTCTGGTCATTCCTGGGTGGGACTCTAAGTAGTGAATGGGTGTTTTTCCTGTTATCCAAACACGGACCCCACCCATTTCACAATTCAATACAATGTTTCCCATAGGATCTCCGAATTAGTCTCAAACACCTGCCCTAGAGCTGATGAGGGGCCCAGGGATCTGGAATTTTAACAATCACACCAGGGGATTCTTATTAGGCAAATTTGGAAAACTCTTTAGGTAGCTTTGGACAAGCAAAGAGAGATTTGTTTTACAGACCTCCTGGATTGTGCTCCTGGTAACTGCCATTTTTCAGGGAGGGCACAAACACCAAAGAAAGCCAGGCAAGAAGAAGGCTTCTGTCCTAATTATGTTACTTTGTTGCTGAGTTCCCTAAAACATCTTCACTCCACCCCACCCTCATATTTCATGGAATTTGGTGAAGAGCTTTCTTATTTTTTACTTGCCTATCACTGTGTTCCTTTCTGTAGGTGTAGGGCAGGGCAGAGAAACCAAATGCAGCATGAGAGGCTCTTCTGCACAGAGTCGCACCATCCTAGGCTGCAGTGTGGAAAATTTCTCATGTGCTGTATGGCAGACTACAGACTGCGAATGGCTTCCAGAACAATCAAACCAAACGGGATACAAAATGGAATGTACACTATGATTACAACTCTGCTAAAATATATCTGCCAATGGACCAACACTGGAAATGAATAAGCAAAAATAACAGCTGTGTGATATGGTGGTAAGAATGAGGATGAATTTTCTTTTGTTTATTTTTCAATCTTTCTGTGATGTCACAAAGACCTAGTAATGAAAGGTATATTTAAGTTTCTTAGTATAGAACACGCTTTTCTCTAAACATTTCTGTTACGTAAGTCATTTTAGTAATTAATTGGTTTTGTAGAAAAATTTTAGAAAGAGTAACCATGTTGCTTAATATCACAAATATTCTAAGAATACCCAATCCTGGTCTCAACAATAACTAACATAAATTACTGTCGACATGGAGACTCATGCCTTTAACATAAATGCGTAGGAGGGCAGAAGGGTGTAGAAGCTGAAATGGGTTTTGGAGTCAGGCAGACATGGGGTCAGACCTTGCAGTCAGAATTTACTAGTTCTATGATCCTGGGCAAGGTATTTACCTTTAAGCTACAGATTCTTCAACTATAAATTAAAGCTAAATAGGGCCAGAATTTATCGAGAGCTTTCTACATGCCAGGCTTCACTTAAATGTATTATTTATTCAATCCTCATCTTTATCTTAAGGCATTGGTATGAATTTTATCTCTGTTTTACAGATGAGAAAGCTGAGTTTTAAAGGGGGAAATTCACTTTGCCTGAGGTCATCCAGCCAATTAAGAATAAAGTTGGAATTCAAAGCCAGAGTCGGTCTGACCCTAAGGATTCATGCTCTTAACACCACTTTATCCTATCTGTACATAATTCAAAGGCTGCTGGGAGGGTAAGATATAATGTATTTAAAACATTTTGCACAGTGTCTGATACATAGTAAGCACTTACTATATGTTAGCTGTAATCTTATACTGTATACCAGAAGATACAGGAATGGAGTTGTAGAGGTATTTTGATGGATTAGCTATTGACTGATGGGGTTTATTTACCATATCTGGCCCTATTTTAAGGGACCCCTTGCTAGCCTCCCTGTTGCCATCTAACACATGCCTCTTCCAATGTACAATGGGGCAAAGAAGACAGTCTTCCCTGATTAATGCAGTTAAAGAAGATGGACTTTAACTGCAAATGGCCTGAGATACTTAACAATAAGAAGAGAAAGTGCACAATAGCCATGTCCTTATTTTTCACTTACAATTTAGGCTGAAATTGAAAGAAGCAACAACATTTAAAAATTCCATTTATTTCAAAATCATGTTGCCTCTATCAACTGAAGATATTGAACTCTGAAACCCACAAGATGCAGCAGCCTTGGAGGGGATCTGGCAGTTCATGTTAGGAGTGCTTGACCTTGGCCAGGTCAGGAATATGACCTGAATATGATCCTGAGCTTTGCAGAAGATGAAACTCAGATTTTCCCAGATGATCAGGGGGCTCTGGGAGAAGTGACAAATATTAAAGAAACAGTGTAGTCAGCTGTTTTCATTTATGATGAGGGCCAGTACTTTCTAGAGATATGAACTTGACAGAGGCTCCTGATAGCAAATGTGAGTATTCTTGGCTCTGGAGAGTATTTTCAGAGTATTGATATATTCTCAGAGTTGAGCTTAACACATCAAGGATTCTACTTAAGTGTTTTAATTACTTGGCCACTTATTAGATATGTGCCTTTGAGAAAGTTAAATTCCCTGTGACTCAGCTTTTTCATCTATAAAATGGAGATAATATGTATATACCTCAGAGTTGTGAGAATGTATGCAAAGCATTAGCAAATAGCTGGTTATAGTAATATCTTAATAAATAGTAACATGTGGTTATTATAAATTTTTTGAGAAGCTTCAAGTCGAAGCTTCTCAAAGATAATTTTATCTTTGGCCTTCTCAAAACCTTGAGGGAACTGAGAAAATTCAGCTTCATAGAAAATCTAGTTTACCCTATACTTCCTCTTTTCTTAAATGGGCTTCTCCATGCCATAGTTTCTCTTCAGAAAAAGTCCTGTTGATGGTCAGATGCATCTTGTCTTTTCTTTTTTTCTTTTTTTGAGATAGTACCCTACATCATTTTCAAGTGACCAGAATTTTTTTCTTATATAATATTGGGGTTACATAATACATGTTTCTGCCTAATTCTCCAAGTTAAGGTTCTCGGTTAAAGTGATAGCCTTGGTTTTACTCTTCATGCAGAAACAACATGTTCTAAGCCACCTGTTTCTGAGATCTGACCCCCCATTTTTGCCATCAGAACCTGATGTCAGCATTTTGTTCTCTTATTTAAGTCTGAACAAATCTCTGTGTTGTCAGGTACAGTGATAGGGGTTTTTCTACACACTTTCCATCACACTTCAAACCAATATGAATAAGGTGAATCTTTTATCTAGACCACCCTTTTGATCCAGTAGTCTCCTCTCTGGGGATTTATAAGTATACCAAATATATAAATATACAAATATAACTGAGCATGTGCCTGGCTTAATTTTAATAGTGTTAAATTGCTAGTAACCCAAATTAATAGAGGGATGATTATTGAAATTTTGTATGATCTAGCTGGGAAATTGTGCAACCACTTAAAATGCTAGTTTTGAAGACTATGCTACAACGTGGCGAAATGCCTGCATTAGTCAGCTACTGCCTCTAAACAAACAATCTTGAAATCTCAGTCATACAGTAATAAACACTTATTTCTCATTTATGCAGTGCAAGTCACCTAGGTTTTGGCTCATCTGGTCAAGATCAGTTGAACCTGGCTCCAGGCCATGAGTGGAGTTCAAGTCTGCTTCACGTCTCTCATTCCTCAGTGACTGGTAGGCTGCCCAAGGCATAGTCTTCACATGGCAAAAGTGGAAGCCCAGGAGAGCAGACCTAATGCCGAAATGTGTAAAGTCTCTGTGCACATTACAACTACTAACATTTCGTTGGCCAAATAAAGCCACATGGTCAAGAAAGTTGATTGTATAACTTGATCATAACTATGTAAAAATAGTTTTGTGAATCAACAAAGAATAGAAATAAATAAGCAAAATGAAAAAAGAAACTATGCCCCAAAACAAGAACTTTTTATTTTGCCTTTCTCCCTTTCTCAAATTTACACAAGAGAATTATATTACCCTTCTTTTTTAAAGTAAGTTTTAGAAGCATCTCACAGGATGCAATTTAGTTTATTAAACTAATTGTTTTATCCATTGCATCAAGGGTCTGTAGAAAAAAAATCGGAATTCTAAGTACAAGTAAGTTAGTCAATTATTATTAGTCCCTACCAGTTCCTAATCTCAAACTCAAACCAAATGAATTCCATCAACATGAACCTTTAACTTTGTTGCCTAAAAACAGATCGAATTGCTTTATTCTCTTATTATTAATTATTGCCGTGTTGATTATTCTCCACACTGATCTCTTTGAAGTCTCTGAAATTAGATATTCATTTCACTGAATAGAAGCATTGTCCCTAATAAATTCTGATTTTCCGAAAGTGGCAAGTCCATTCAACAAATAATTACTGAGCACTCTATGTTCAAGGCACTACAATAATTGCTTTTGGGGAAGTAAAGATGTGTAAGTGACCATCCTTACTCTCAAAGATCTCATAGTCTAATGGGAAGAGAAATGTGTACACATCTATTTGTCTACAGAAAGAAGACTAGGAGAAGGGCTTAATGGTTCTCAACCCTGGTGGCATATTAGAATCATCTGCACAATTTTTAATAAATAACACTATCCAAGCACATGCCCAGAGATGCTGATTTAATTGCTCTAGTGTCTGCCAGATCACTGGTATTTTTTAAAGCTCTCCAGATAAAAATAATGAGTAGCCAGTGTTGAGAACCACTGGGTTAGGCCTTCTACTTCGAGCCTGACTGAGCTGTTTCAGGAGACTGAAAGTTGGCAAAGACTCTCAAATTCAGTATTTAAAACAATTTTTAAAATCAATTACCATATCAAAAATTATATAATACATGCATATAGTTTAAAACGTTAAATGGTACTGAGGCTTATGACTAAAATATAGCAGTTCCCTGTACTCTCCATTTCTCCAATTCTCTTCCACTTTGCCTCTTTAAATTATTTTTAAAGAATTCACACATCTCCCATTATCCAGTTGTTAATGCACTGGTATCTTTTACGTCATCAAAAACAAATTAGTTAAAAAAATAAAGACAAAAAAATATTAATTGCTGAACTTTATTTTCTCCCACCTAAAATTACCCTAACCACTCCCCCGGCCCCCACCCGCCCAAGGAACAGTAAAAAGGAGTAAATGTCAAGTAATTGGTGCAGCAAGTGTAGGAGAGAGGTTCTTCTGTCCGATCCATGTCCAGGTTCAGACTGGCCTGCCTGGTGGCCCGAGCAGTTAAAAAAGGCAGCTAAGAGTACTTTTCTAAGCCCTACCTGCCCTCCTACCTCTCAGAAAGTTGATGGGCTTTATCTAAAATTATAGCCAAAAGAATATTTCCATACTTCGTCCTGCATTCAGGCCTCTCCAGCATCAATAAAGTTGTCTTTAACCTTTCTAGAAGTTAAAAACAGTCTGGAAATAGGAATCTTTCCAAAGCATTAAAAAAAAAAAAAACCTATGGAAAAATAAGATTGCATTGCAGAGCATAATATTAGCTTAACTATTTTGAGAGCTGACTAGAGAAAAGGACCTTTGATTTTATTTCTAATATATTGCACATACATTGGAAAGAAGACATGATAGGAAGGTATTGCATAGATTCTGCTATGCCAGCAACTACTCTGGCATAGTTTAGAAAGAGTTTGGTATTCTCATTTTAAAAAATTTAAGCCATAGAATAGCAGCAGAAAGGGAAACTAAGTTTAATTTTGGGGAATGAAAAAAAGTTAATTGAAAAGGTTGGCACTTGAACAAAGACATGATTGACAAGAAAGGATTTCAACAGGTAGAGGGAGCAGAAAAAGGTTTGAAGGCTGAGAAAATGGCATAGGCACAGCCAGAAGCCAAGAATGTGTATGGGTGTGTAGGTGGTAGTATTGCTGTACAGGTTCCCTGTAACCTCTCACTGGATTATAAAATTAACACCAAATCATCATGGAAAAGATCGGGGATGTGCAAAGACCTCTTATAGTGAGACCAATTCCCAGGCCAGTAGCCGGGTGTAAGCACTTTCTAGCCTAGATGAAAGTATTAAGACATAAAGAATGAATATGAGAAAAATGTTATGTGTTGGGAGTAGTGAGGGGAAGGTTAGTGGTCAACCTGGAAACTTTAGAAACTAAAGAGAGAAAAAAAACTTCATCCGAGGCAGAGATTATGGAAAAACTAGTCACTCTTAGCATTCTAAATTTGCTTTCTTTTGTAAACCTGACCTCTCTAGCCCTTGTGGTAGAAATATTTCTATTTTAGAGATGGTTGCAATAGTCTAACATAGCCTGAAGACTTCATACATTTGAATCAGATTACCAACTCCCCTTGCTGCAAAGCTTTGCTTGTATAATTTGGTTTCCTATGTTACTATTAAATGTACTGATTAGCAAAAGCATCCGGCCCACCTATTACTACAATCCTCGCTGTAAATTGTCAGAGTAGCATTTTCTTTTATGCCTTGGTCTTTTGTGAACTTTATTAGTATAAAGCCATCCTCAAGAGACTGATCCAAACTTGGTACAGAGGAAATCGAGTTCTGAGCCTATAAAGCTTGAGTCCCATAGCCAGTATTACGTGCCAACAAAGGTGCTGTCCTGAGATACCCAGTCAAAGTAAGTAGCCTGGAGGGCACCCTACTCCCCACCCTCAAAATAGTCCACCTGGACTGGGAGCATTAGAAACATTGGGAAATGGAGGTATAATAAAGAATGTGTTAGAAGAGTATGTCAGGGTGTTTCATGGAAAACCCTGAAAATTGGTTTGGTTTGAAGACTGCAGGGACTCACTGAAGATACATTAGCAGGGGATGGCACAAAATCAGTTCTCCGTATGAGGAGAACCTCTCTGTTTGATAGGATGGAAGCCAAATTAGGCTAAGAAAACTGGAGGAAGGCGACCAAATATGTCTGTCATACATGAAGGAGGTGAAGTGTACTGGAAAACAGATAGGAACTCTGCACATAGAGTGTCAGGGTCCCAAGATACATTTCTGTGGCTCTCTGCCATACTGACTCTGCCTTGATTTCCTCACTTGTACACGTGAAAGGGAGTAGCTGCCACTTGCCTGGAAGAAGGGACTCTGCTTTTTCTGGATTCCTATATTGTTTGAAATAATTTTCAGAAGGCTGCCTTTTCATAAAGCAGGTAGAGGTGTTTAATGGCTCTTGAGGCAAAGCAGAGCTTATGAGTTTCCTCTGACAAGGTACATTCTGGACTGAGCCCAAACACAATATTCCTCTCCAGGCCTGAAAACTGCTGAAGACTGTCTAAAATGATGTGACTACCCAAAACATCAGAGGCCTGGCTGAACACAACTTCCGTTGCTCTGTGAGTTTCAATTAATTCCATTGCTTTTAGCAGGGCAAGCTCATAACGCCCTCTGTCCTCCACTCTCCTGCACAGAATTGCTATGTCTTTGGGCAAATAGCCACATTGGAACAGGCTGTGACATCTTTCTGCCACACGATTCGCGATTTGCCCTATTGTCAGGTTAGTCTCCGTCTCACACACCCCAGGCAGAGCCTGAGCACATATTGCTTCCTCGTAGGCAGCTTCCCTGAACAATGACAGTATGTCTGGAGACATATTGAAGAGAGGATTTTCTTTGATTCTCTTCATTTCTTGTTTCATGACCATCGCTATTTCCAGAGAACAGTGAATCCCATTGGTGATTGTTTTACGAGGAAACTGAGCAGATGGAGGGGGAAGACCATTGACATCAGCATGATGAACTTGGAAAGGGTCCAGAAAAAACCAGAGAACCCCACGGGGAAAGTTTTCACTTGCAGCCCCCCTCACCTTTGAATGGGTGATGCTCTTAGCCTTCATGTACCAATCACCATATTTACTGCAGAACTTCTCAGTTTCATCCATCACTATGTGTTTAATCTTTAGGAACTCCCCTCGCATGAAGGTTTTCCGAGTTACAGCTTGGCAGGTGATTTGCTGGCTGTAAGGATAAGAGAGAGAATAGGATTTTAGGAAACACCATGCATTCATTACTCTCTGGATTGGAATCAGAGGCTAGTTCTCATCTGGAGGCTGATCCGCTGATTCAGTGGTGTCCTGAATACTACAAAACTGCTTTACTGATAAGTTACCTGACAGAATACATAATTGCAAACCCTACTTTTTGGGGTTATCTAGTTAAATCTGCATGTGAAACTTCTGAAATAAACCCGGATAAGAGACTATTATTTCTATTAGTCTATTTCTGCATCTTGACAATCCCTAAAGACAAGCTCCTTACGTCTAAAGGAAATCTCAAAAGTAATTTACACTTGTTACTACCATTTCTTTCTGTCCTTTTTAGAGGTAGAGAACAGCCACCTAGAGGCATATCATAATTTTTATATGTAAAAGAGGTATGGGCGAATACAAATTCCCCTTAAAGCAAATCCTATTTCCCCACTTACTTATAGTACAAAACCAGAAACCTCTTTAGATTTTAGTAAGGAAAACATCAAGAGGTTGCTAAGTTCCATGACATATCAGATAGGGTAACAAATCTACAGGGCTGTATCTCTCTGTGGCTATGAACCTGTTCACTTTGCTCAACATATCAGAGGAGGAGGAACAAATTAGAGGAGGCAAGAAACAACTAAGTTTGGTTGTTGCTTCAGTTTGGATCCAGGTAATATAATATCACTCATTCCTACAGGTTTTCTGATTTTACATATACAGTCCCTGGGCTTTACTCCTTGAACCATAACCATTGATGTTCTTCTCTTCCAGTTTGGCCTGTGTACCGTTTTTGAAGAAAAGCACTGATTCGTAGCCATTCTCTGTATCCCCTTCACATAGGGTTTAATAGATATTTGTTAGATTGAATTTGCCTTTTGACTGAGGTATTTTTAAACTTACCTATAAAGCATATTAAAAACCACAGCCCTTAGCACAGTTTACGACATCCTTCATCATCTGGCATCTGCCTCCTTTGCAACATCATCACCTACCACATACCAACACCCCGTCACTGCTCCAATCAGACTTACCCTTCTGATTCTTTAGTGTCTCCATGCCTTTGTACTTGCTATATACTCTTTGCCTAAAAAAGCCCTCATTTTATTCACTTCTCTCACTGACTTTTAAGAATGTACTCAAAGATCTCCTTTACTGGGAAGTATTTGCTGACCAACCTTCACCCCAGTTAAGATAAGCATATCTTTATTATCATACTAATTACACCACATTCACATTGCTTATTTTTTCTTTTGTCCCTGTTTATGGCCAGGTCTTCAATATATTTTCTTCTCTAACACTAAATATCCACAGCTCCTCACATAGACATGGTGCTCAAAAAGATTTGTTGAATAAATAAGTAAACCGAACCAAAAATTCAAATGAGTTTGCCTTCATTTGCCAGATTATAAAGCAACCAATTTTTTTTTTTAGTAAATTGAAAGCTAAAGATTTAAATCAGAAGCAAATTTGCATGTTTTCTAAAATTATTGATTCATAACAATTTAAACAAATGAAAATATTTTATAAACAAGATCAAATGGTATTTAAATTCAAAATTCTGTTATGTATGTCTAATTAAAGGAAATACCCTATGGCTTTAAAGTATTAAATATTAAGCAAAAAGTTTATTTAAAGAAAGATAGGTTTGTTTCTACTAAAATTTCAGGCCACAGAGTATGGGAAAAAATGTTTCTAGTTATATAATGTTATGCACACTTGGCTAATTTATAATGAGATGTTTAAGCCTGAAAATTGCAAAGTACTCATTTGTAGCTCAACTACCTAATCACTTGGAAATGTGAACATAGTTTGGGCTCTAGCACTTATGCAATTAAGGCAAAATCTTAAATTAACAATACAAATTACTTCTGTGATACTGTTGAAAGACTAACTAAATACATTTATTGTGTTTAGTTAGTGAAACACTTACACCACGTAATTCTTTAAGGAGTCATTTTCACAAACATAGAGAACCTCTTTTGGTTTGCAGTGGAATAAGTCCTTAATTTTCTCCATGATCTTTATGGCTAGGGCTGTCTTCCTGGTTCCTGGAAAGCAGTAGATGAACAGTTCTCGGGTCTCCTGAAGGCTCTCTGAAAGCAGCTCACACTGCTCTGCTATGAGCAAGTTGAAAAATTCATAGCCCAGCAGGTCACTCAAAAGAGATCTAGAGCACAGTGAGACCACGATAAGGGCCTGCAACAAGTCTTCCATTTCCTCCTCATTAGCAAGCTGGTAGGCTTGGGGGTAGTATACAGGGATTTCACAAGGTCTGCACTGTGTGGTGGGCAGGTATATCAGCTTCGGAATGACACACACTTTTTCTGTGTAACCAATAGTTCCTAGTTTCTGCTTTAACTGACGAGCAGTATTTCGGGCATACTCAAGGCTTTCACTCTTACTGGGGTGTTTTAAGATTGTAAAGAGTACAAGGGGGCTATTAACTGCTATTAGGAGAGCATCACACAGGACATCCTGCTCTTTTTTTAAGCCAACATCACTAGCCCAGCTTCTAGAAAATATCACAATCCCCTGAGAACAAGGATGTATCTGCATCTTCATTAATTCTTCCAGTCCTTTATGATCTGAGAATAGCTTCTTACAGAGTGATTCTGGTTTAAATTGTATCTCTTCCTGTGTCACTGAAAATCCAAGGAATAGAAATTACTAAAATGTACAAAAGCATATTGTAAGTATTCCTGCAACATAAATAAAAGAAATGAGTCTAGCCATGGAACCATAGGTTTCCTTGTCTGCAAGAAAAGCACCCCTTCTTCACAGGCCAGGACTGTGAAGTTCCCACTGTTGACTGCTCTCATACAGGGAAGGCAATCAGGGAGAGGTCTTCACAGAACAGCCTCCTAGCACCCTCTTCTCAACCCCAAATGGTCCACTCCTGCTAGGAAATCAGGCAGTCACTCCTTCCTGTTAAAGAGGTGTGTGAGTGTGCGCATGTGTGCCTGAGGCTTTGAGAGAACTAAGAACTTTAATTTAAAACAATGATTCTTAACATGCAGCAATTTTACTACCCCCACCCCCAGGACATTTTTTCTTGTTACAGCTGGAGGAGGGCTACTGGAATCTGGAAGGTAGAGGCCAGGAATGCTGCTATACATCCTACAATTCAGAGGGCAGCCCCTTTCAACAAAGAATTACGTGGCCAAATATCAGTAGTGCTAAGGTTGAGAAACTCTGCTTTAGAATCCCATGGCTCACCTCCTTCTACATTGGAAAGCCAGGGGGCAAGTCTCTTGGGCTATAGACCTAAGGAATTTAGGAGAACTCCTAAATTATCTCCAATTTGGGGAACAAAAACCATAAGCGACTAGAAGCCCAAAAGCACACAGAAATATTGTGTGAATTTGATGACTGGGAAATAAAAATTAGCTTTTTCAGGACCATTATGTCTGCTAAGTCCTATATTTGACCTTCTTTCTGAGGAGAAAAATTTGGACTAATTGCTATCAGTTCCTCCCAACATAATTTTAGGAAATAAATAAATAAATAAATAAATAAATAAATAAATAAATAAATAAATAAATAAAAGCCCCCTCGGCTGAAATCAAGAAAGAAATACCTGGAAACAAACGTTGTTGTAGAGCACCTTTAAATTTCAGGACTTTTATGGGACATGATGGACTTCTTAGTGCAGACGAAGCTGGTGAAACCGGGAGAAGGCTGTAGTCTGTGGCCAGACTAGAAGGAGCTAAACAAATATATGGAGAGTTGTTTCAGACAAAAAAGAAACAGAACTTTTTAATTGTTCTTCCTACTGTTGACATGTGATTTGCATCATGCCTGATCTGCTCTTACATTCTCTGTGCCTCAAACAGTTCACATATGTTAGGAGAGGAAGTCTGGGGACTCCTGGAGGACCATGCATTTTCTGAGTCACTGTGTGATTCATCTTGGGCAAGTCATTTTACCTCTCTGTCATGACTGGGTGAGGTGATGATCCCTAAGGCTCCTTCCAACTTTAATATTCTGATTCCGGGTCATCTCTAAGAGGAAAAGGCTTCTAGCGGGAGCAGAAAAAGTTAAGCACAGTATGTATTTTTTATACTGTTATAGTTGTTTAAGTTCCCATCCAAAGTTTAGATAGAATAAAAAGTGGCAGGATCTCTAGTTTGGTGTATGTGTGTATGTAAAGTAAACTCAAACTAATTCAGAATGAGAGAGAATAAGTCAATACAATCACTCAACTCTTGATCCAAGCTTCTTTAATAAAATTAAATACTGACCATGAAGGCAAACTGATAAACTTTGTTCAGCCGGTGAGTCTTTTATGGATTAATTAGAAATCACCAGGGCTGATTCTGTGAGGCAGGGCAAAACTGTAAGGGACGTGAAAACACTAGGAGTCCTCGTCCCCATTCCCATTCCCTGCCCCAGCATCTCCTTTTTCATCAGTTAGTTTTTCCCCACTTCGGGAAAGTGGTTGAAGGCATTAGCTCCTAATGTTACTGAAACAATTCAAATTTGTCAACAAATTTCCCTTGAAAGAATTAGTGAAGAGTCATTCTTAAATGATGTTTCTCTGAAATATCATCCTTAGAGATTACTGATGAACGTTTGTGACTGAAAATATCAGCCTGCAAAATTTTTTCAACAGGCCTTTACAGTGCATAAAAGGGAAATGCCACTAATTCATGGCTGATGGCATGCTATAATTTTCCCAAAGTAGACTGAAATCCAAGCATTTCCTGACTTCAAGGAGTTCATATTCTTTGAGTTAGTAAACATATTAGAAAAAGGAACCCTGTAATGGGAGAATATTTGTAAGCAAAACAGCTTTTTAATCATTTTAATTCTTTGAAATATCTGTGACCAAATGCCCACAGAAGGCAGAGAAGGGAGTTTCTCCCTGCCGACTGGATAATGGCTGCTATTCTGCTTTACCTGGCTGAATATCCAGCATCATGGCCACCCAGTGCTCGACTGTCAGCCTTGTGACAGAATTGTTCCTCATAATCCAGGAATCCGGGGCCTCTGTGAATACCACACAGCAGAAGGGCTCCACTTGAACCACACAGACATAACCATACAAGGCATCTTTTTGGTATACATCCAAGATTTTGGTAGTGAAATTCACTTTTGGCTTCTCACAGCAGAAGTGGAATGTTGGCAGTTTTTCTATGCAGTTTTCTATTTCTTTTTTTAATAGGTCAGGGTTTACTCTTTCTCTCTTACATCCAAACACTTCTTTGCTCTTATCATCCACCCCAATAATTAGGTATCCCCCATGGGTATTGGCAAATGCAGAAATGTAATGAGGCAGCATTTCTTTAATTCGAGGGATAATCTTTTTGGTAGTGAACCTTTTAAACTCTACATGTGTTGACTCAGTAAAGCTGAGTTTCTCTTTATACATGAGTTTGTCCTTTTTAAAAAATTCTGAGGCAGACGTCTTCATATTTTCCTCTTCCTGAATGTTTCTGTCAAGAACTTTCTGAGGATGCAGCTCCTTCACCCTCGATCTTCCTCTTTGGGCTCTAGACTGCTTCTCTCTCAGAAGCTCCAGGGCACTGCTGGCACTCAGGTTGATAGCGGAAGTCACATCTCTCTGATATAAATTTGAGCGCAAGCTGCAAATCCTTAGAGGTAGGCTGAAAACATCTGGGCTCCATGACTTCACAAAAATCAGGAGATTGTGCCCCTGCTGCATGTAGTCAAGGTATTTCTGTGAACCTGAAGGAAGGAGCTTTTGAAAAGAAGTTTCCAGATCCTGTCCCAGCCCATGGCATGGGTAACTGTAGGTTTTATCGTCAATCTCCGCTTTAATCACACCCCCTCCAGAATTTAAGAGTGCACATGTAGCTTGGATGATTTTAGAATTCTCAGTTCTTTTCAAATAGTTATTGGTCATCTTCTTCCTGTTCTCTTCTCCAAAAGTCACTCTGCCCACTTCTACAATTACCTCAGGATAGAGCATTTCCGTATTGGTCTTGAGACTCTCCATCTCAGCAACCCCTCTGTGCTCCAAACAATAACAGAAATGGATTCCAATAAATAATCAGGACAGAAATGTTGCTTCTGCATTAACAAGAATTCAAGATATTACAATATTCTCTTCAAAGTTTTAAGTTATTGGCAATACATTTTAACATGGAAATAATCTTTGATATCACTGTTTTCTAACAACTTTGTCAAGATCCTTAGTTTTTCCATCATGAATGGGCATAGGTAAAGGTAAATGCTTAATATTTTGCCATAACAGAAAACTTATAGCACTGGAATTTTTGGCCATTTTTTTACTTAAAATTAGGAAGCACCAACAGTGAACCCAGATATAAAGAACATGGGTTGGCACAGGAACCAATGTAAGTTATTAGAGAATGTGTAGAAGCAGAACTTAAAGTCAGAAGATCCTCCTATTTATAATTCAAAGGAGAAAGAAAGAGGGGCAATAGGGAACTAATGGAGTATAGTTTGAGAGTATACGTGATATAGATATCTTGCTATAAAAACAAACATAAACTTGGTATTATTATTTTATACATTTTTAAAGCTTTATTCTACTCCTGAAAGAATGTCAATCAACACCAAATGCAGAAATTGTTTTATCTCTTCAAACATTATTCTAAAAGTACATTTCTTCATATACAGTGATACAGAAGCAGGTGTTTTCCTGCCCTCCTAATAGTTCTGCCAGTGCTGTGAGAACCTCTAAGACTTGGACAAGAATATGAATGTAGGGACATGGTTATTAAACTGTGGCCAATCACCTTTTGCTTCACAAATAGAGCACTCTAGGTCAAAATTAGGGCACTGAAGCAAATATTTCAGACATGACTCTCTTAGCTTTTGTTAAAAAAATAAAATGTTTACTAACCCAAACCAAAATTCTTCCTCTAGAAGAAGAGAACCCATTTCTTCTGTGTGATCTTTGCAAGGCAGAGGCCATATAAGTGTTGTTTGTACTCACCAAAAGGAAAAAAATCAGGCATTCAGCAGTATGTGTACCCTCCTCTGTCATAGTTTGCTCTCAGTTGCCTTCTCGTCCACCAGGTAAACCAAAATCAACCTGATGAATTGTTTTTTTCCATATGCAAGCATCTCCTACAGGTAAATGTAACTGTATGGCCCCTTAGAGAAATTTCTGATAACATTCTATTCACATCATAGAATCACAGAAGTGCTGGAAGGGACTTTAAAGATCTTTGGGTCCAACTATCCATCTGATTCTTAAATCTTCTCTATAATATTCCCAAATCTCAACAAATTGCTTTCCAGCAACTGCTTGAACACCTCCAATGATGAGTAACTCACACTATTAAATTAGTCCTTCTATTTTTCGACAACTCTGTTAGAAATGGCTTCCTTATGTTCAACTATAATTTGTCTCCCTGTAATTTCCATCTGCTGGGGCTCACAGAACAAATCCAATTGTTTTTGATCTAGTACACTGTACTCTCATGGCTCCCAAGTCTCATTGATACTGATGCTGCTAGATGCTGCTAACAACTGTGATAGATATCATTTTCTGAGATTCTAGCTTCAAAAGAACATCTTTTCCACTCTTCCCAAAATTTCTCACTCATTTTCCTTTACAAGTTTCTCCTTAACTACTATATAACTAAGCCCTTCATGCCCTCAGACATAAACTGCACCTAAGATGAGATGGATGAGATTTTTCAAATTAAACTTTTTTTTACCTGATGTGCTTGCTTCTTCTCTTGTTTCAGTTCCACATCTGGCTTTGGTCTGAATGTTTGTTTGCTTTCTGTCGCAGTCCCTGTTGCCCTTTTGATATCAGCCTGGGAGGAGCAGGAACTCTGCAAGACTCCCCCAGTTTTCATTACATTGACCCACTGAGGAAGGCTGATAAGGACTCAAGTAAAGCCTGTGACAGGGTAGATTAGCAAGCCGAGGTCTGACTTCTGGGAGTGAATGAGGTAGTAATGGGAAAATTCAGAAGTTTTCAAGTGAGGGGCTAAAGCTAAACTTCTCACCTCTAAGGGGCCAAGTGTCATTTCCACACATCATATAAGCACCTCCTGTCCTCATTAATTTCTTTTCAAAGCTCTACATTCATTTTAAATTAGGCCACTCTGCACGTATCCATTATGAGCAATATTAAGTTATTCCATTACCTTCCAAAATTGCTTGTTCCATTCTACTTACTTTTATTCTCTTTTTCCTATTCTTCTTTTTTATTGGACACAAAACCCAGCCTAGAAAAATGCACATTGATGAGGTGCTGGCTATCCTTGGGTGAGAGAACGACAGATTATTTTTGTTTAATTTCCTTTCATTTTTAAAAAAAAACTTTTTCTGTATTGTTTTTACCATTAAAATAGGAATTGTTTTTATCATTAAAAAACGAAAAAATAAACAGGTGAACTATCTCACTTAGGAATGCTGGTTAAACTGGATAAAGCTTCCTATAGTAGGCCGAATAATGGCCACCAATTATTATTAGTATTATTATTAGGAACCTGTAAAAAAGGTCATTGCAGATGTGATTAAGTAAAAGTCTTTGGATGGGGAGATTATGCTGGATTATCTGGGTGGGCCCTAAATCCAATTACAAGTGTTCTTATAAGAGAGAAGCAGAGAGAGATTTGATATACACGAAAGAGGCAACATGACCCATAGAGGCAGAAATTGGAGTGATGTGGCCACAGTGTAGGAATGCAGCGGCCACTGGAAGGTAGAAGAGGCAGGACCGGATTCTCTCTCCCCTTGTATCCCTTCCCCCCTTCCCCAGCATAACCCTGCTGACACCTTGATTTTTGCCCAATAAAACTGATGTCAAACCTTTAGCTGTGGGAAAATAAATTTTTGTTATTTTAAGCAACAAGTTTGTGATAATTTGTTGTAGCAGTCACAGGAAACTGATATACTTGTCTCCCTCTAAATTGAACCAACAAACAAGTCTGTGTTTCTACTCAATTTGCTTATGATGAAACGACCTTTTTTATAATAAAAAATAGATTTGATTGATTGATTGATTGATTGATTTGCCGAGGTTACTGTTCCTATGAAGTTCTGCTTTGCTGGTATATTACCCTTTGTGCATGTTGGCTAAACAGAGTTTCCAGGACAGGAGGCAGAACAGATACTATGATGAATATTTAACACAGCAACACCATAAACTCCGAAAGCCTGCCCTCAGCTTCAACTTTAACCTATTTCCATTCACTTCACTTCCAAATTCAGTCTCACTTTTAGTTTTACAACCTACCTTAATTCCCAGCCTCTCTTGCATCGAAATCCCTGATATTACTTACCTTAAGAAAGATAAAAATGACCATCTTTTACTGAACATGTACATTTGGGTGCAAGGCATCGAGATGGGAGCTTTCCATACTACACAGAAACTGAGATTACATGGCCAATAAGTGGAAGAGCAAGGGTTCAAAGTCAGATTTGTCTAATACAAATGTTTCTACTCCTTCTCCTGCCTTTCATTTTGGGATTCTAGATTGTTTTTGAGTCTCCAAAATCAGAAATCCGCCTAACTATCTACCCTTTTTCTTCCTGCTCAACAGGAAGATCATTATTTGGACAGGAGAACCAGAAACCAGATTGTTTCTTTTATTCTTCTTCAATGTACTATAAAGGACTAAATCTGGAGAAGCAGGGATAATGTGAAAGATAAGCAAATAGTTTCTCTTCCTTCTTCAAAGTTCCTTAGTTGAGTCCCCTGGTTATGAATAGTTAGATTATCACACCAGGGAGATTCTCACATCTTGGTTTTGATACCTCAAAACCAACTTTGCTTTTTCCTAGGTCTTGGGAAAGTGATGTGGCCATTCTGTTGACAATGGGCTAAGAACTAGAGCCCCCAATGTATTTAAGATGTATTTACTCACTAAGAATTTCAATTTATCAGAAGTCCTTTGTGTCGGTGTACACAGCCTTCATGCACACTAGACACAAAATGACAAATACCAGCCTCCACCTCACCCTCAATTCATTCATAGAGATGATCTAGAGAGCAATAATGCTAATTCTACCATGCTACTACCTGACTCTGGTAAGTCTCCTAACTTTCATCCATTCTTTTATTCGATCACCTATTTTTTGAGCACCTAGGGTGTTGAAATCCTAGCTCTGTCACTTTCTAGATTCGAGACCTTGGTTAAACTAATCTCCATACAGTTCTGGTGAGAATGAAATGAGATGATATACATAAAGAGCTTAGCATGGTGCCTGGCATATAATGTCAGCTTTTCATTCAATAATCAATTACTAAGCACTTACTGTGTTCTGAACATGGTGCTATGCTGTAAGGCTACATGACAAAATAAAAACTGCCATTTAATGACTGCTTTCTTTGGGCCAGACAAGCAACTTTGATTACTTTGATTTGTCCTCATAACAACTTGTAAGACATGCATGATTTTCATCATCTTATAAATGAGGAAACTGAGTTCAGGGTAGTAAAGATCAAGGTTACACATCTAGTAAGTAGCTTGGATTTGAACCACTATCTATCTGATTCTAAAACCCATTTACCATAATTCTGTCATGCATCCATACTGTTAGCCAGAAGAATAAGACACATATCCTGTTCACAATCTAGAGAGGGAAAACACATATCAAACCATTGTAATACAGCATATATAATAACATCAGTTGAGCACTCTATGTTCTAGGCATTGTTCTCATTCAATTTATCTAACAGCTCTGTGTGCTATAATATTAGGTGCTATTATTATTCCCTTTTTGAGAAAACTGAGGAACAGAGTTTATGGTGCTTACAAATATGGTCCATGTGCATGATCACTACATTCTAGTGCCACTCTGGAGAGCTAGCAATGTATGAACAATGTGCTCTGAGTGTTCTGAGGTGTGACAATAACTCTGCTTGTGAAAATAAGATAAGATCTCATAAATGAGATGGTTTATGAGCTGTAACCTGTAAGTAAGAATACCAGGCTGAGAAAGAGAGATGGAGAAGAGGAAAACCAGGCAGAGAAAACGGCTCATGCAAATTCTCTTCACTGTCTAACCTCTCCTATCCGATTGGCTGCTCCTTGCTGCTTATTCTATACCATCTCTCCATTTCCACTGCCACAGTCCTAATTTAGGCTCTTATTGGCTCTCACCTGGACCATAGCAATCACTTGCAATAGCATCCCTTTGCCTTCCTTCATTCTATTTAAAAACACAGTTGCACGTTGAATTTTCTAAAGTACAGCTCTGATTATGTCATCTCAGGCTCTGAAATCTTCAAATCTCTCTTTCTCCAGAAGTCTAAACTACACAGCCAGCAAGCTACAATCTTTAACAAAGTCTTGACCTATCTTTCAAATTTCTGCCACCCCTTTTCTTTAACACTATCACTGGTCCTCAAACTTTAGTGTGACTCAGTATCACCTGTGGGGCTCTTGTTAAAAATATGTATGCTTCGGCTCCAAACCCAGAATATCTGATTCAGTAAATCTGGGTTTTGTCCCAGGCATTTTTATTTTGTGATTTGTTTTTAGTGCTGAAGGACATCTATATTGCTGTTTCCTCCTGGTGTTTCTAGAAACACTACGTCTTTAAACTTTACCTAAATTTGGTAAAGTTTCTTAAATTTTGAGAAACACTACGTGTTTAAACTTTATCTAAATTTGGTAAGCTCCTACATGTTTTCTTATTTGATTTGGGAGTTAAATTACTCCTTCTCCCAGAATCTCCTAATTCTCGAATCTCACCCATCTTTCAAGACCCAGATCAATTGCCACCTCTCCCAGATAATGTTTCCTGCTCTCTTTTGCACTTCTTTGATATTTAGATGCACTTTTCTTGCGGCACCTCTTGCTTATCTAGGAAGTGTCCAAGCGCCCGAGCAGCCAATAAATTCACCCTGAACGGAGAGGGACACGTGCACCTGAGTCTCCCCTCCCTCCACGCCCCCAACGCCTAGCCCTCGAGGGAATCTGGACAAGTGCAATAAACACTGTTGGATCACTCAATCAATAGTTCTTCCCGGAAACCCAGGGCATAACTGCCTCAGTCGCCCTTCCCTATTTGTGAAACAAGGCACCGGCAGAACTATTCAGCATTAACAGTCACCTAGTGGTCCGAGGGCGGGTAGGAACTGCTCAGAGGCTGGAAAGCTACTGGCCTAACTCTGACAGCCACGCAAAGAAGCGATGGAAAAGGCGCTTCCGCCTGCCCGCCCGCTCCACCCCTGACTTTCGCCTCGCCCTCCGATTGGCTGCTCCTTGCACCCGCCCCCTTCTCAAGGCTGAGGCCCATGTGACCCACTGGCCGCTTCGGGATTGGTTGCCCCGGGAAAGGCCGCACAGGGCGGTGGGGAGCCTGCGGGGCCGTAGGGCGGAAGTGGATATGGAGCCGGGAATGGGAGCGGGTATCGCCCAGAACCCAAAGGCGGAGTATCGGCTTCCTTCAGCCTCCGCTGGCCCGAGCAGAGGGCGTAGGAGTTAGGAGTTTGGAAAGAGAGCTCAGGACTCTTACCTGGGTCTGATGTGAGCCCTGCTCCGGCCTTTCTCGCGTTTATCCGCAGGGACGGCTTCTCTGTCTTTCCTGAACTTGGTGGGATTTGGACCTTATTATTTTTGAGGGTCCACTGTGTATAAGCAATGGTTGTCCTGCACTGGACGCCGTGCAGCGCGCCATGAGGTAGAAGCTGGGGGAAGCAGGGCTTAGAGATGCTTGAGGTATGGTCTTACCTACGTGAAATGTTAGAGGTAAGTCGGCTTTATAAATTGTGCTAATGCTTTTATAATCTAGGCGCTTAGAGTTTAGTAGGGAAGCTCGCGTATTGACTGAATTAAACTCTTATTAATTGAGCCTCCTCCTATATACCAGGCACCATTCTGAGTGTAATGGTAAGACAGACCTGGTTCTTTACGAACTCTGATGAGGCTGGTGGGAGAGAGGAGAAGGTGGGAGACGTGAATGGGTAAATACTTGGCATGTGATCCCTGTTGTGGTGGGAAAAAGTGCTGTGGGAGTCACAGGAGGGGATGACAGAGTTATAGACCACTTAACAGAGGTTACATCTGAGTAAAGTTTTAAAACTAATTGCACATTCTCGACATTGAAAGATGCGTTCTCCACATTGAAAGGGTGGGGGAGGCACTCCACATGGAGTGAATGTTCTCAGAATATGCTTGCTGTGTATGGCTGGAGCACACTAGAGCTCTGTTCACAAGTTTCATGCTTTTAGACAAATTTATTTAAGTTCTCTCGGCCTGTTTCCTCATTTTTAACGTGTACTATTTCACCTGTACAGGATGATAAGATAAAGACTCAAGCATAGCTCCTGTAAAACAGGCACTTTGTTAGTTTCCCTCCATGGAGCTTAGTTGCTGAACGCAAACAGACCAACAGCCATCAGTTTTTAACTATGGAGTATGAATTTGTTGACATTTACAGATGGCTGGAGGAAGCATGTGGTGTCTCCAGAACTGTTATTTAGCTACTGACAATACCATGCTGAAAGGCTGGGGAGAGTGACATTGTTTGTGATCCTAGTACTTTTCCATGTCAGTGATAGTATAGCACCTGAAGGTGTCATTTAGATAAATGAAATGCAGTCAGCTTTCTCATTCAGAAATTGATTATTCAGGGTGTGAATTGCTTTGCATTATCCAGGCTTTGCGTTGCTTCTTTTATCTTGCTCATGGCCTGGAGAAAAATGAAGTTAAAACATATTTAGCTGGTAATGAAATAATATAAATCTGATTATCAGACCTCAGTTCTCTTTCCAGCTTTGCTGTTAATTTGCTAAGGACCTTTGGCAAATCATAACCTCTCTGGGTCTTGGACTCTTAAGATAGATTTGGATATAAACATTTTATGTGTATACTTTTTAATCTTTGCAGCAGAATTGTAAATCAAATTATGTATTATTCCTTTATAAAGGAATTTATAATCTTTAGAAAATCTTTTTAAAGCTTTTGCTTTAGTACTAGACTATAAATGCCTTCACAGGCATCCCTGAAATTTTATCATGCATAGTGTTTTGGCTCATGAAAAAAACAAGTTTATCAACTGTAAATGCTTATAGACTTGCTTCTGTATTTCAAAAACAAAAAGCTCCCCCCAAACAAAACGTTTTCAAATTTGCATTTTTGTACAGCAGAGTGGCTTAAAGCATTGTGGAGGATTATTCAAATCATGGTTGAAACTTATCTAAAACGAAGCTTTATTTTTTCGTAGGTAAACCTAAGTTTTTTTGGATATGAAAAGAGCACGTGAAATGCTCTTAGAAAGAGGTGAAATGCAGTGATGCGATGATGAGTGAAGTATAGTCTGACCTGGTATTGCCATTGCTTCGGTGTTGGCATTGACCAGGGCGTGATCACTTAATCTTCTCTCTGAGCTGATTCTGATTGTGTTTTTTCATATTGGTATGTTCTAATCTATTTGGATACTGGTTTTATTATGTATAAGAGTGCTTTTTTTTTTATATTCTTTTGAATTTTACTGATACTTTCATGTTTTCCTTCTTAGGTTGAAGTAAAAAAATACGGCTTTGATAACTTCATGGAGGACTACCATTTTTTCAATCTCGATTCTGGTTCATTTCCCTTATTGACTTATTACTGTATTAAAGATGTTTAATTAACTGTGGTATTTGCTGTGGTAAAACCTTGCTGTTTAACAAAAATTTTTGTAAATGTCCCTTATGCTCCTCTTCTGATTCATAAAAGCATTAATATTTTAAAATAGGATATTCCATTTCAGAATTTAGTTTTATCACCTTTGTGCTATCAGAGAATGTGCTTTGAATTGCTAAAATGAGTTAAAGTATTGGCAACCACCTATCACAGCAGAGGCACTTACAAGTTATTTTCATTCTTCTTCCAGTCATGACGATTTTTTTTTACCCGTATTTTTTCACCAACCTGCCAATCCAGTGGCATGAATTTTCTACATAGGCAATTTAAGTGTTTCAATAGTATTTCTGATACAAGATATTTCAAAAAAGGCTGAATTCTTGCTATTGGAGTAGAGGATCTCTCCCCCACCATTACTGGATTAGCAAAAAGAAGCAAAATGTTAATACAAAAATACCCAAAAAAGTCAAAGGTGGTCCGAATGAAAATTTACTTTAAACACCTCAAGTAATCTCTAAGTTTCCACATGATCATGACAACATGGAAGTTCTTTGCCAAAAACATTTATTCTTAAAATGTATTTAAGCATTTCATAGAAACTTTAGTAATAGCCAGAATAATTCATGTCAGTTTAGCAAACTCTTAACAGCAGGCAGAAAGAACTTATTAAAAGGTCTTTTCTTTACACACGGTTAGATCAGTATTTTACTTCATCTTTTTATTGCTTATTAGCTTTGCTTTCACACGGAAATCTTCAGACTATATATACACTCAACCCCTATCTTCCTTTAACCAGTTTCCCAAGAAAGAGCTATATGGCTCATAAAGGAATCTTTAAAAGTTGATAAACTACAGCAAATATTACTTAACAAATGGGTCACAGTACATGGAAGGAGCTGTTGTTTTTCGAATGTGTTTCTGTAAAGAGCAAGCCCACTTTTCACATTGTTTGCAAACTGATAAAACCTCTTTCTCAGAGGCAGATAAACCTTTCTTGTCAAGAAAAGACCTCCTTCCCCTTCACCACCCACTTTGAGGTCTAACTTGGGTTTTTCCTGAGAGCTTCTATACCTCTTTGTTCTTTAAGAAAAAGCTTCTGCACTAATTATCCTCTTTTATCTACTTCCTCTACACAGACCCTCATGTTCCTTGCCAATCCCTATTCTCTTACTCTAATCAGCTTGGTCAACTCTAGGGGTCTAGAGAACAGGCTAGAGGTTAAGATCAATGGTATATCCTTTTAAAGAAATACAGTTGTTTAAAATTGATATAATTATGATTTGAGGCTGAGAAGTATCAAACGATACTATGTACCATGCTGAAAAACAGCCCTGTGGCCTTATAGTGCAATGGATTTTGTTTCGAGGTAAGATGCTAATACTTTTCAGTTCTCAGGGGAGTACAGTTTAATTAGATGTTGTACTTCTGTTGGATAACCTGTGATGGGACAACTTTGGTGACTCCTCACATAATTAAATACACAGCGGTAACAAAACACATAGCCAGAGGTGGCAAGCACAGTATCGTTGACCCGGGTTTTACGACACAGTGGACACACAGTCTTCATTTTGGGTAACAGTGGAGAATCAGAATTGTAGTCTAGGTGCACAGGTGGTGGTGGAGTAGGCAGAGCAGTCAATGATTTGATGGTTTCTTGATTTTCAGATGAGTACCACCAGTCAAGGAACTGCAGGAAGAATACACCCACAGAAAGGCCAGTAGAGAGGGATAAGGCAACACCCCCCATAGCTTTTTTCAGAGTTGACTTTATCTTCTCACTAACACTGTTGGGAGAATAGAACAAGGAGGCAAAAACAAAAAGTATTTGTTTAGGTATAATCACAGAATGGTTAATATAAATGTAGTTCTTATGCTTATCAACACCAATTCATTTTGAGAATTGAATGGTTGCTAGATTGACAGTCTCCTTAAGGTTGTATTCTAAATGATTCCCTCATTCTGATTTATAGTATTTTAGGAGCGTAGGAGCTAAACTTTGTTTTTAATGACTAGGGTTTCGTTTACTTTGTTTCAAGAAAGATTAGTGAGACATTGATTACACAGACTTTTTTTTTTTGGTGGAAGACAGTATATCTAGAAAAACAACTCACTTAAAAAAATAACTTAGCAGTATTGAGAAATGTGCATTTGAACTTTTAGGAGAACACTAAATGCAGTATAGCATCGTGGTTAAGAGCACAGTCTTGAAAATTTTGTTGATCTGGCTTGAATCTCAGCTCTGCCACCTTTTAGCTATGTGGCCTTGGAAAGGTACTTAGCTTTTAGGGCTAAGTTTCCTTAGCTGTTAAATGGGGATAATGCATTTATTTCATTGGGTTGTGATGAGGCTTAAGATAATGTACATAAAGCAAACACCTAGCACAGGGCCTAGCACATAGCTAGTGTGCACAAAAATGTAGCTGTATGATGAAGGTTTTCAGGATGGCAATCCTTGTTTTATGGATACAAGAATTTTTCTACCATTTTATGAAATACCTCAAGGTGGACCGAAGGAGGTGAATTTCATAAAATTAGTATAAGATTTTAGAGTTTGTTAAAGTTTTGGGGAAAATGTTAAGGCCTTACCTCCTGGCTGGTTGCTGCATCATGCTGGCTTCAGCTGGTTTGTGCTCCAGAGCTTGTATATCCTGAACTGTAAGCCGACCTAGCCGAACTCCAGCTAGACTTAGTAGTGGTGAGTGGTGCTGAGCCTTTCCTAGGATGTATTGAAGTTGTTGTACAAGAAACCAGCCTTCCCAGGCCATGTTAACAAATGGGTAGGCTGCCAGGAAGGCTCTGTAAAATTGTTTCCAGCGGGAAGAAGGGGGATGGATAGAATATTCATCCTCTTCTCTCAGGCTAGAAACGAGCTTTTCCAACTTCACTTTCAGATAGGGAAGAAGAACCAGGAACATTACTGACTTCCAAAGCTGCTTTTTTGGGAGACCAGCACTGGCCAGTCTCTGAAGCTTGTGTGTGTCCCCCATTACGATCCGCTTTAAGCCATAAAAGTTTTCAGAAAATGAGGCACTGGTTTTAGAAAGATAATGCTGCTGGAGCAGAAGATCTAGCAGGGTAAAAATTTCATCAAACCACCTCCAAAAAAAGCCATAGTGGGCAGGATTTGATTCTGCAAGAACCTAAAGCAAATTATAAATGACATTCCATTTCACAACTCCTGTCTTGTAGTTACATTTCCTTTCCCCCTGTAAATTCTACACTTTGAGATTAAATAAGCCACTCCTTTGGGGTCTACCCTATCCTCTCTGAAGTGCTGAGTACTTATTACAGGGCTCTACACATAACAGGGACTCAATAACCATTAAGTCATAGGATATGAACTATATGCTAATTGGTAGTTCAAATCTAGGCTACGAAATAAACCCAAGTTATTGGTTTGGTTTTTACCCAGTCCCTATAAGCATTCAAAGAATTTATACCTTACCTTGACCACATGCTGAAGAGCAGGTCTCACTGCCGTCATTAAACTGTCCTGTGCTACCACCTCAAAGATGGATGGCTGGTCATCCAACACAGAAGCAGTTGTGATATGAGCCCCGTGCTCAGCCATAGCTTCCTGTGTGCACTGGGTTTCAATCCGCCCACAAACTCTCTAGTAAGCATGAACTTGTTTTTGGTATCAAATGGGTGCTCAGTCGTAGAGGTAATCTTTCTGCAGGATACCCGAAGCTTCTCTCAATTTTAATAGGAACTGGGTGAAAAGACCTAGAGGCCGAGGGGAAGGGTCTCAAGGAAGTTAACGAAGTTAACGCAGAAGTAGGAGAAAGTGAGTAGGGAAGGGGTGACTTGTTAAATGCTGCACCTCACTGGGCAGAGCGTGACTATGGGAGACAGGTGTGGACGAAGAATTGCTGTCTTCTCCAGGTGCAGTCCTGCAGGCTGCGAATCAGGGACTCCCAATCGTGAAGGGTCAAAAACCCGACGGCTCTAAGAGATCAGAGATGCTAGTGAAAGCCCAGTACGCAAGGACTGGCTCCAGCTGTTGACTGCAAAATACCCCCGCCCGCGCCCGTCCTTGCGCGCTGACCCCAGACGAGACGCAAAGGACCCACGACACTGTATGAAGAAGAGGTCTCAGCTTTATGACAGAAGCCGCTCCCGGAAATGGAAGTCGCTTGTGCTTGAAAACGGCGGCGGAGGAGAGACGCTCTAGTCCCGACACCGGAAGTAGAAAGCTGTTACCCCACTAGCACTTCCGCTTCCGCCCCCGCTGAAATTAAATGAGGCTCTTGGTGATTCGCATGGAGAGGGAGTGTCTCGGTTCGTTTTAGTTTTAGCTGGTTTTGCATCGCACTCTGGGTGGAAA